TTTGAATTGACATCATGCAGAGCGAATGGGAGCGCAACTCTGATAAAAAGCATCAAACAGCAGTGACATGATACACATCTCAACCTGCCTTTTCTTCTACAGCACACACCTGAGCATATCTGGAATTCAGTGTGTCCCGACGCAAAGTGTGATTTTTGCAAGACTCAGTGGTAGAGAGAGAGGGAGCAAGTGAAGGAAAAGCTGAGTATTTGTTTACATTTTCAAGTTTGTTGACTTGCATTTTTCTTACCGTTGAACCCTTTGGCAAAGCTGTCTCATCAACAAGCAAGTACACAATGTTCAGGGCAACCAGGAGAACAGAAATCGCCTGCAAGCAGCACGGATGGAAACAAACATAAGCATTATAAACAGTAGAAAGAAACATCAAACCAACTTATGAAATAAACTGCATCAAGTCACATGCTTTGTGGTTCATTATGATAACCCTGCAAAGTCTAAATAAACGTGTACCGTTCCAGCAAGCAGGATCAGCATCACTATGGGGTAAAGGAGGTTCTTTTCCCAGGCTGAGGCCTTCTTTCTCCTTTCTAGGACAGAGGGTGAGAGAAGCGATTCTAGTGCACATATTTCTGACTGACAGTACATATGTTTACAGTGAACTACCTTTGAGCAAATTACACCCAATCCCTTTAATTAGTCCATTCCTCTCAGTGTCTGATTTCACACCAAGAAAAAGAGTAACTAGTAAGATGAAAAATCTATTTAATACAGGAGAATTTTCAAAAAGATTATCTTTCATCTAGCAAAGCTATAAAATAACAACAAAATTTACATCACTGTAACATTTTACAAGTTTCATGAACAAGCAATGAACGAGTTTAAATGTATTATTACAAAATAAAATTAGCTTCAAATATTCAAATGTAGTAGTCTATGTATAAATGAACATTTACCTAAATTAATAAATGCTGTAAAAGTATTTTGTCAGTGTATGAAGTGCATTAACTAATGTTAACAAATTAAACTTATTGTAAAGTCTCACACATATACTTGTGTTTAAAAGTTTAGGGTCAGTCAAATTTGGATAGAAACTGATAGTTTTAGTTTGAAGTGAAGCATTATATTGATCAAGAGTGATGTGGAAAAAAGTGAGATTTGTGAAAAAAAATAAAAAGCTTCCATGCAGTTTCCACAAAAAAATTAAGCAGTACAACTGTTTTTAACATTGATAATAATAAGAAATGTTTATTGAGCAGCAAATATTAGAAGCATATTTCTGAAGGATCATGTGACACTGAAGACTGGAGTAATGGTTGCTGAAAATTCAGCTTTGTCATCACAGGAATAAATGACATTTTAAAATATATTAAAGGGGTCATATGATGCCATTTTAAAGATCATTATTTTGTGTATTTGGTGTAACAGAATATGTTGACATGCTTTAATGTTCAAAAAACACA